CATGCCATTCCATAGGGCGCTCGCAAAAGCTATCCCCCCCCCCCCCGGTGGCACCGCAGCGGTGGTTCGGGAACTAGACATGTCACGCCGGTTCTGGAGCACGCGGTGGGCCGTACCCGTGCGCTCTTTCATCCAGCGGTCGTGCATGTGGTAGCTGTAGTAGTTTACGGTGAGATCAAAACCGAAGAGGGCGATGTGACAGCTAGAAGAGCGTGACTGATTGTACGCCGAAATTGGGCTTATGTCGTCTTTAGGCCACATGTTAGAGCTACTGTGCGCCACTTTGAGAAAACGCCAGGCGCGTTGTGCCTTTTTTTAGCCGGTCACAATTTTACGCGGAGTGAGCGCAAGTGGGAAGCGCGGACTGACATTCAGGTGAATTAGGTACGTTGCAGTGGTTACAGGGCTATTTTTCGTATGGATGAAATCTACGAGTGACGGCGACGCTTTGGGAAGGTTCCCATTTGGCGGTGTGTACAATAAATTGCACTTCTCCATTTGGAAACGCCCCGACGAAGAAAGACGCATAGAAATAAAGCGTCGAACGAACTAATCGTGTATGTCTGTCATGATGCATTACTTCATGTTTTCTAAAGCACTGTGGTAGGGCAGTGGTATATATACAAGGCGTGTTTTTAAAGCCTGCACAGATGTTTAACCATGGCACAGTGGACAGCTTCTGGATTGCGCAGTGAATAACATCTGTTGTCGCGGAGAGAAATGCACTGGGCCTGGACTCTTCCATGAAGGAACTCATTGTCTTCAGACCGTGCGTATTTATTTTCAACGTCATTTGGCTGATTGAAACATTGTTGTTGAAATCTTGGTGCACTACGGCCTAACAGGTTTTTTGTTAAAAACTATGTCTCAAGACAAGCTTGTCTGAACTCCTCCCAACCAATCAAGGCAGGAAAAGTGGTGAAAACCCTATGACAGCACTGGAATGCTTTGACAACACTATGTGTATCGCAGGAGGTCGCGACCACAGCGAAACTCTGACAGCCCTCTTACGAAAAGTGAAGTCAGTGGCCCAGCACGTTCCCAGCCCTGCTATCCGGAAGAACTCTGACCGAGGAGGACAGCGTGTGTGACGGAGAGTAAAGTCAATATTAGAGGCCAGCGGCTCGTCATATAGGGAAGTGCATTAGATATAGAACACTTGAAAGATGGCCTCTGGGTATTTTAGAGCAACAGACTAGATTCCAAAGAACACGAGCGGCGTGAGAGAGAGACAGAAAGTTAGCGTAGCTGACGACATAGAGTTTCGGCGTATAACAAGACCAGCGACAATCGCACGGCCGCGTCGATTGCTGGTATATCAGAGACATCTGCCCCTCAGTAGACGTAGCCATGCTCCTGATGATGATGATGATTACTATCTAACATTTCAATGGTAGCTTAATTACTTAACCTTGCAGGTCGATGGGGAGTAGGAAATTCGATTGGAAAACATAGCCCTGTGTGATCCCAGTGCGACGTAGCCATCCATCTTTGTGCGGTCCAGCTTGAATGCTTCGCCTGTCTCTGAAGCTGAGTTCCCGATGAAGACGCCAATTTTGCGTCTCCGCAAAGTCTCTGGGTCGTAACCAGCATCTAAGATGGCCTCGTACGACGTTTCCAGTAGTAGTCTCAACTGTGGGTCCATCACGTGAGCTTGCTTTGGATGTGTACTGAAGAATTGTGCGTCAAAGCGGGACAGGTCTTTTATCTTTCCGTGGACTCTCGGCATGTCATTGTATCCTGCGTGATTGAACCAATTGTGCGCTACATAGCAGCAACGTGCTACCTTGTGTCACAGGGCGTACACAAGCAACTCACCCATTTTTTTTGGCATTTTCTACAAAATGGATCGACCCTACAAAATGATGTCTACAAATTTGCCTACAAAACTATGCTTGTTCGTTGTCTTCCGGTAGGGTAAAATTTTATTAGCTGCGTAACCCATCATATTATAATGTAATGAGCTAGCCAGAATGAAAAACAAAGTATTGCATTGCGACACTCGACTACAGCAGGCTTGATAAGGTGGCGCAATACAAGACGAAGTTTGATACAGATTACAACGCAAAACGCCAATGACCTTGAGCAAATCTTCTCTCGTTGTTTTATGCTTATTAGTTCCGCTTCCTTAAGTGGCAATTTTACTCAATTCGCTGCATGAGCTAAGCCTTCACTACATTGGAATGACACAAAACCCTACAGCAAAGGAATCTACTTCTAGGGGGACAAACTAATATTTTCAAAAGTGAAGAAGGAGAGCTCAAACAGGCAACATGAGAAAAACGATGAAGTTAAGCATTGGAATTACTGATCACTAGGTACCGCAAAAAAAAGAAAAGAAAATAAGGCTTCTCGGTGAGAGTGACACACTGATCGAGAACTTATTTCGTGAAACGAAGCATCATTCACTGGGACGCTTGATGGGCACTGGTTGATGGAGAATGTGCGCAAAACACCAATTGGTCAGGGGAGTGATTCCTAAATGAAGAGAAAAGTAAGTAACTGTCTCTCAGAGGGAGGACTCCTTAACAGTAGCTCAGGAGGGGTGGGAGTAAGGAGAGAATAAAAGATATAGAAATAGAGAGAGGGGTGAGCAAAGCAAAGATGCTCTAAGAGTAGAGAATTCGCGTGAAAGACAAATTTTCCACAACTACTCCACCAACGAACGCCTTGTGGGACATAGAATGCCTTCACTGCTAACTGAAGTAGATTCAACCTACAGTGCTATGTATCACCTTATTTTAGTGAAACAGCCGGTGCACGAGTCCCCCTTCTTGCTCTTTGTATTGCCGCATAAAACCTTAAATCTCTCCGTGCGTCGAGTCATCAACCACAGCAGCCAACCTACGGCGTCATTATTCCTGGTGGATTGTATTTAGCTTGCAATTAAACGCCAGTCCGCACTTTCCTTTCGAGCTGCCAGGGCGCGTATTTTTAACGCGATGGCCTTAGAGAGGTCGTGTCGCAGAAATTCTGCTGTCGGTGTCGCCACCATTGGCTTTGAGTGAAAAATCGTCCGTGAGCGAAAAATTGAGAAAGAACAAAGTAAAATAAAGAATAAAACTTTCAGTCTCATTGAGGATCGAACTCGGGCCGTTCGCGTGGCAAGCAAAATGTCTTACCACATAGCTGCCATGTTGCTTACACCTGCTTTGGAAAAAAAACACTAAAGAAGTGACATGAAGAGGAAGGAGTCTCCTTAAAGCATTTTGTTCGACAGTTTTCACGACGAAAACGAGCCCATTCAGCGATTTGTAGGCGCGTTTGGGAGGCCATCAAACTGCGTCGAAAAAGACCGGTATAGTGCAGCCATCACCGCTACAAACGCACAGGAACTTTCAAAGAGCTTTAAAAATGAAGAACTGTGTCCATTTAGCGGAAGACATATTATGCATTTCCAGAGGCGTTGATCAAGCAAACAGCAAACGCTAGATAATGTGCTGCCATCTGTGATTCATTGTGAGACTCTTTATAGCCTCACAACGGCCGCCTGGATCTAGGCGGCAGTGGCCTGTTAGATGGTGAGCGTAGAATTCGTAGGTTGCAGATAGTGACGCCGTCCAGGGCAATACATTTTCGATGCCTCTTACTTTCACCGGGTGCACGTTTCACTTGTCGACCTGTTACATTTAACGACTCGTGATCTTTACCCCCTTCAATTGCACTTGAGTAGAATTTTCGATGAAGTAATTGTCTGCTCATGAGTGCCCATAATGAAAAAGATGCAAAGGTTTACACTAGCTGCATTGCACAGAACGTCTTTCAATATTTAACTAAGCTGTTGTGAAAGTCACTTGATAAATAGAACCTAAATATACAGGTAGCTGCTCGTTTAGAGCCCAAAGGACAATGAAAATGAGAATACGTAAAAGACAATGCTTGTCGTCCTAAACAATGGTCTGATGTCACACAAATAGAAAGAAACTAAAGCTCCATATATGCTCTATGTTGTTAGTAACCGAACGTGAAAGCTTCGGATAAAGTGTATAGCACTCTGATAACTTAGCTATGGCGGCTCTCATAGCCACGTTCACTTTGCTGCGTATTTTCATAAATGTGATAATGGGAATGTCAACGAGTGTGTCCGATGTGGTGATGGCGATTACGGAACACTCTCGGCAGCTAGCTTTTTTTTTATGCCCAGACTTGCTTTAGCGCGTGAAGGAATGGTAGTTCGCCTCACCTAGCTTCTTTGTAATTCGCAAACCCTGGTAAGCTTTAAGGCAAAATACCTACCTTCCTTTGTTCGCTACATAATTTTCGAGACGTATTGAAGAATCTGTGAGCACGCATGGTCACGTTATATCACGGAATGGCTTGCAAGAGTGTCATAAGGTTTTGAAAGATCACGCATGATTTCTCCTATAGTCCACGCGACAATGTTCAGGAGACATCACATCATGACGTAGTCACTCAAAGAGCAAATACGTCAAGCAATTATGTCACGCCAATACCTTATCATGCAATTAATTCAATAAAAAAATCACCAGCATTCCACACATGACTGTAGCAGTGCCAAACGACTTTAGGTGCAGAAATAATGTTGTGCTCCCGACTCCGCAAAGCTGTCGAAAAGTACGATAGATTTAGAACACTTTCAAGGTAGTTGGCCAGGTATCAAAACAATTGACTGGGGAAAAAAGATGGCTGATCCCAGCGTCACTGGAATTCGTATTACGCAATAGCGATACGTTTGTTCACAGAAGTAGTTGATAGTTTATTGTATTTGATATTATGCTAGGTACCAATGGCATCACTATTCGAGAAGCGGAGAAGAACGACAGAAGAATCACTGGTTCGAGCTTGTTATATCCGCAGCACTGCTCGCCTAATCAGTTTCAAATGCACATATACCTATTTTTCTCAAGTTCCTTATTGAAGAACTCGAGGTGGTCTCAATTTCCAGAGCCCTCCACTGTGGCGTCTCTCACAATCATATGGGGGCTTTGGGACTTTCAAGCCCACCAATAATAATAATAACAATAATAATAATAATAATAATATATATAATAATATATATTATTATTATATTATTATTATTATTATTATTATTATTATTATTATTATTATCATTATTATTATTATTATTATTATTATTATTATTATTATTATTATTATTATTATTATTATTATTATTATTATTATTATTATTATTATTATTATTATTATTATTATTATTATTATTACTTTCCTTGAGTTCTTTTTTCTGAGTCTGTTACAGCATTATAGCGTGTGCCATGCGTATGAATGAGTTGCAGCTAGATCTCTGTTTCACAATAATGCACCCATCTTGACGTCTAGCGGCATGTCTCTATCGGTATGACTAACGCCCGTGATCATAATGTAACCGCTGGGGTAGCTGAAGCTTTTAACATATACTGGTACACATCGTATTCAAAATCTCCCATATAATGACATAAACAAGCACATAGCAATTACTGGTACTCGCTATGAGCTTCCGCAAGGTGTCATCAATTAGGAAGAGAAACGACACGCTGTCCACTCCTTAGTAATCCGGCAACCTACGCCGGTTCTTATGCATACACTACATCACCACACTTTATCAACGTGGAAGGGCTCTAGAGATCAGTAGGTATACAGCCATTAACGTGCACAGATATTTCATGTCCCACAATTATTGATATCGTGCCTCGGTGTTGTGCCTTGTTTACCTCTGCCTAGCTCCACCAAGGCACAACATTCGCTGATCGACATTGTTGCTTTTCTGCGGAGCTTATTGCAGCAGTTTTAATGTCGGCGCGGTTGCACTTGTAGTAGTGGGCGACGCAGAAGCGGGACTGCTGTAGTTGCCAGCGGCATTACTCCGACAACGAGCTCACGCGACACGCCGACGCAAAGAGAAAGAGAAAAACGTAGCTTCTTTAGAGGAGACTTTCCGGTACTACCGAGTGACCTTTGCCCCACGCTGTTGTTGAGATGCTTTAACCACGGCTTCAGATATTGCACACCTGCAGGTTTCTGCTGTGGAACACTGTCGGAGGTCGTGCTATAAGTAGTGTGGTCACCGAATCGTTCTTTCTCGGCGCTAGTAAGTGTCATCCCACCATACTTAACATCGCCACCTGAAGTAGGCGGCAGCGCTCCACCCCGTCAACGTAAAAAACCATGCGAGTGAGAATTCGTGAGAAATGCAAGCCGCGTTTCTGAAGTGCTGGCCTTGGTAGCCTAGCTGGAACAGCACCACGTTCTTATAGACGCGGGTGGAAAGGCCACAGGTTCAGCTCCCAGTGGCGGAAATAGTTTTTCCTTTTTTAACACAAAAATATTTTATGTCAATGTGAACCACTGCTCTGTAATGCCTTTCTGTCACGGATATGGCGTTTTAAAATATTTACAACCAGATAGCAAAGAATGAAACGAGAAGGAAAAAGTTCCCCATGTGAACATTGAACCAGTAACATCAAGCTGCTCAGAGCACAACGCAATCCACTACACCACAAAGCGACCCAATGACGCGTCGTCAGAATGACATTACTAATTCCTGTTGCCCCCGTGAGGGTCTGTTTCTTTTTCCTGAGTTAACAGGAACTCTAAACGCTCGGCCGTCTCTGGCGCTGCAGAACTACGCTGGGTACCATGCTGGCACCGTACTGTCTGCGTCCACGGATGGCAAATCCGGTCAGACACGTTTCAATCGAGTGAAACTAAAACAACGCTGCCTGCCATCAGCTGACGTGCCTCCCAAAACTTACGACACAAAGTAAATGGAAGCAAACTAA